ATAGTATTAGCATTTTTTTTTTGACAGGCAGAGAGGACAGTGTGAAAGAGAGACAGGGAGAAAGGTCTTCCTTTGCCTTTGGTTCACCCTCCAATGGCCACCATGGCTGGTGAGCTGCGGCCGGCGCACCACGCTGAACCGAAGGCAGGAGCCAGGTGCTTCTCCTGGTATCCCATGCAGGTGCAGGGCCCATCCTCCACTGCATTCCCGGGCCACAGCAGGGAGCTGACCTGTAAGAGGGGCAACCAGGACAGAATCCGGCACCCCGACCAGGACTAGAACCCGGTGTGCCTGCGCCGCAAGGCGGAGGATTAGCCTAATTAGCCTCGGCACCAGCCAGTATTAGCATTTTAATTTAATTTTCAGAACAGTCACAGATACTTAAACTTACTTCAACTGAATGTAGATTTTACTGGTTTCCTTGTTCAGTGTCACATCCTTGATCTCTTGGATTCCTCTGAAATCCTCTTTTCATTTTGCTGATGCTCATCCTGCAGTCATCCTCTCAGAAGGGATTTCCTGGGTTTTGGCAGACAGTAAGGCCTTTTCCATCTTTTCACCTCGCCTGAGTGATGTTTGGGGGTAGAATATTGAGGGGTGTAACCACTGCACCCTGAAAATATTGCTTTTGTCTTTGTTCATTCAGTTCTGCCAATGATAAATCTTACTTTAGTCATGTTCTTGTATTTTTTTCTGGCAGCTGAAATTTCTTTGTTCCTGGAACTCTAATGGCATGTATTTCTTTCTCCTTTTTCAAGATTTATGTATTTATTTTGAAAGCTGGTGTTACAGGGTAGGAGGGTGTCTTTCATTCACTGGTCACTCCCCAAATGGCTGCAATGGCCAGGGATGTGCCAGTCCAAAGCCACGAGCTGGGAGATTCATCTGGGTCTCCCAGGTGGGTGCAGGGGCCCAAGGACTTGGGCCATCTTCCACTGCTTTCCCAGGCCATAGCAGGGAGCTGGATCAGAAGTGGAGCAGCCAGGACTTGAACCAGGGCCCAAATGGGATGCCAGGGTTGCAGGCAGTGGCTTTACCCGCTACACCACAATGCCAGCCTCCATTGCATTCCTTGAGGAGAATGAGCTTTGAGTTTTTTTTCACTGGAGTCTTCAAGTATCTTTTTCAACTCCGGTGAGTTTCAGTCTCTGTCTTCTAATCAACTAGTCTTTCCATTTTTTCACAAACTTTTTTTATACTTTATAATTTTTTTAATAATTTGAAAGGCAGAGAGACAGAGATTTTCCATTCACTTGTACACTCCCCAAATGTCCACGATAGCCAAGGCCGGGCCAAGGCAAAGCCGTGAGCCTGGAATTCAATGCAGGTCTCCCACATCGGGGGCAGGGACCCACACTTTTGCACCGTTATCTTGCTGTCTGCCAGGTTGCAGGTTAGCAGGAAGCTGGACCGGACAGCACAGCCTAGATGAGAATCCATCTAGTAATGGGAGAGGCACATATCCCAAGTGGCTTCTCACCGGCTGCACAAATGCCTGCCCTAACCTCTTTCATTTGATAACGTGCATTTCTTCTGGCTGCCCCACCTGCTGGAACAGCCATTAAATAAGCCCTAGAACTTCCGGATCTCCCTCCACGTCTCTGGACATGCCCTTCACAGACTCGCTTCCTTTCTTTGTACAACTGCCTTTGTGAAAGAGAAAGCCGTTTTGCAAAGTGCAGAGCGCCAAGTGGCCACAAGGTGCAGTACGGTGTTTGCACCCCGTACTGTACTTCCCAATCTCCCACCTGCCCTGCGGCCTCAGCCCCAGGCTCTGTGACTCCCTTGCTCCACGCCCCCCCCCCCAGCTTCTCCCTGTTCTTTTGTGCCTCTGGGTGTTGCTGAGCAGGTGCGGGAGGCTCTGCCCCCTTCCCTGATTGGCAAACACCTCCACGTGCAGACCAAGATCATCACGGCTGTTGGTTACAATCTTTCCTCTTCCTCCAGGTTCTGTCAGCATGAAGTAACACTCACCTGCTTGCCTGCAATTGCTCCTTCTGAGGGGTCACGTCTCCATCGGCTGAGTTTTTTGGACCCCACCAATAGCATGCATTATAACGGGGGACATCGGAAGAACACTTGCAAGTCCCAGACGTTGCTCCAGTGTTTTGCACTCAGGAACTCATTGGAAAAGCTTAGCAATGCTCTGCAGCCTTCACTCTCATTTTGCAGATGGGGAAATAAAAGATAAAGTTGAGTAACTTGCCAGCGGGTACACACAGGGAGCAATGGGGGGCCAGGAGGCGTGGGAGCGCCATCAGCTGGCTGAGACTGCACACCGGAGTTAGGTGGGTGATTGTCTTGAGTTTGGCGTCCACGAGGGTTGGTTCCAGGACGCCCTGCAGATCCCAGATTCACAGATGCTCAGGCTCCTTCTGTAAAACAGTGTAGTATTTGCCGATAACTTACACACATCCTCCTGCGTGCTTTAAATCATCGCTAGATCCCTGGTAACAGCTAAGATAATACAAATGCTATGTAAACAGGTGCTATACTGTATTCTTTAAGAAATATGGTGAGAAACAAGTCTGTGTGTGTTCCGTACAGACAACAATTGTTTTGTTTTTGAAATAATGTGGATCTGCGGTTGGGTGGAATCCACAGATGCAGAGCCCATGCACAGAGTCAACTGTGTGCCTAGAAAAGCCAGGTGCAGACATCATGGAAAGGAGTCAAGCACTTGTGGGTGATGAGGAAGGTAGCAGGTGCCCGCCACCATCCTCCAACAGAGAAAGTTGTCTCCAGTTCCATTGTGCATTGTTTTCCATCTCAGAAAAGCCAGTCCTTGGGCGCCAAATCACAGACTCCCAGGCTGGAGGACCTTGGGCAAAAGCCTGCCAGGGGAGGAAGTAGCTGGTTAAGGCCTCCACCTGTAGCGCCGGCATCCATATGGACACAGGTTCGAGTTCCAGCTGTTCCACTTTCGATACAGCTCTCTGCTGTGGCCTGAGAAAGCAGTAGGAGATGGCGCAAGTCCATGGGCCCCTGCACCCATGTGGGAGACCCAGAAGAAACTCCTGGCTCCTGGCTTCGGATCAGCACAGTTCTGGCCATTGCAGCCATTTGGAGGGTGAATCAGTGGATGGAAGATCTTTCTGCCTCTCCTCTCTCTGTGTAACTCTGACGTTCAAATAAATAAATAAATAAATCTTTAAAATAAAATAAAATATGTAAAGAAATTAATCTCTAAGAATAAAAACTCCTTAATATCACCTTCTCTGAATTTTGATTAAAAGTTGATTGAACCCGGCCGGCACTGCGGCTCACTTGGCTAATCCTCTGCCTGTGGCGCCAGCACCCCCGGTTCTAGTCCCGGTCGGGGTGCCAGATTCTATCCTGGTTGCTCCTCTTCCAGTCCAGCTCTCTGCTGTGGCCCAGGAAGGCAGTGGAGGATGGCCCAAGTCCTTGGGCCCTGCACTCGCATGGGAGACCAGGAGGAAGCACCTGGCTCCTGGCTTTGGATTGGCTCAGCGCACAGGCCGTAGCAGCCATTTGGGGGGTGAACCAATGGAAAAAAGGAAGACCTTTCTCTCTGTCTCTCTCTCTCACTAACTCTGCCTGTCAAAAAAAAAAAAAGTTGATTGAACCCGATTGCAAGTGATAGCTCGTGTCTGCTGAGCGCCCACTGCATGTCAGTGAGCTAAGGCTCTCCAGGCCTTACTTCCTCTTACGGAGAAGCTACAGCTACTGGCCCGTTGTGCAGACCAGGAAGAGCAGCATGACCAAATAATTTGTCCCACTCGTCAAGTGGCCTTAGCTGCAGAATCCATAAACTCTATCTGTAGAGCATAGAGAGAGAGAGAGCCAGGAGCCAGCTGACACCCCAGGACCAGGAAAGAGGTGGGAAGTGAGGCTGGGCTATGGGATGCCTGACAGACCCCCAGCCCTGCCCCCAGGGACACTGTGTCCCCAGGGACGCACACTCACAACGGTCACATCCTCTGAAGGACCATTCACCTCTCCAGCAGGTCTGAGCCGATGGCTGGCGGCTGTGCCTCTGCTTCCTGTCCCAGGGCACACCCCCTGCCTGCCTCGTGGGGCTCCGCCCCGCTCAGCCTCCCTGTCTCTTGGCCAGCCCTGTCCCCTGCCAACTGGGGGCACGGAGCCTTACTGCAACTCCAGCCCCCCAGCCCCTCCCACCATCCCAGAGGTCCCGTGCCTGTTCTATCTCAAGCTAGGTCTGAGTGTTTGCAGTCTTGGGGCTCACTCTCTCTCCAAGGCACCCTGCCTTTGGCTCCCCCATAGGCAACCCAAGACCCTCCCGCACGACAGCATCCACCCCTGCAGCTCCCAAGCCAGCGTGGGGGCTGAGTCTCCCTCCCCCACCCCACCTGCACCTTTCCCTCGGCAAGTCCCACACTTAGAGCTTGCACACATACATTTATTGAATTTTCACATATAGATGTTATCTATTTGATTGTTATTTATTATATCAGAGGCAGAGAGAAAGAGACAGGCAGAGAGATCTTCCATCTACTGATTCACTCCCCCCAAATAGCCATAGCAACCAGGGCTGGGCTAGGATGAATCGGAAACTCAGTCGGAGTCTCCCAGGTGGACTGCAGGAATGCGATGACTCGAGCCATTGCCTGCTGCTTTCCAGGGTCTGCATTAGCAGGCAGCTGGAATAGCAAGCCCAGGTATTCCAGTGTGGGGCCCCAGCATCTTCTCTGGCCACTTAACCACTTTGCCAAATGCCTGCTCCTCATCTTTATGCATAGGCTTTGATTTCAGATTCTGTGTAAGCGTGTTACTTTTACTTTGGAGTTCTATACACCGCAGCACCTCTAGGTTTTTAATGCAATGATCTTGCCCTGTCCTGTCTCCTGCTCTGCCCTCCAAGACCAAGTACAGGGAGGTCCCAGCCACAGGGACACCAGTGGACCCTAGCTCACTGCTGCCATCTACAGCTCGTTTCATCCACGTTGGGCTGGCTCTTCCGCGCCCTGGGCCAGTCCTGGGTCCTTTTGCCTTTGGACATGGAGTTCTTCCTGCAGGGGACTGCCTAGGTCTGGGGGGAGGAGGGGCCCGGGGCTACTGAGCTGGGAGGGCAGGAGTATCCCAGCCCGTTCCGCAGCCCAGATGACGTCAGGTTTGGAACCACGGGAGAAGATGCTGGTGTGCAGAAGCCCCTCTCTCTTCTCCGCACAGAACACTTTGAGTCCGGATGTGGCGAGGAGGGGGCGGGGCAAGGACCCCCACCCCACCCCGGCCCCAGCTCTCACCTTCAGTGCACACTTGTGTCTGCCGTTCAGAAACCAGATGTCTTAATTAAAACGCTGCTAAAAGAAGCAAATCAATTAACAGATTCCTCACAAGATGGCTTCTTCCATCTTCCACACGGAGAATTGCTGATGAGCGTTGCGAGCCCGCGCTAGGTTGCCCGTTAACAAAGGCCGCTACTGACAACATTGTTATCAAGTCAGATAAGAGATGCCGAGGGAGTCCAGGCACGGTATTGTAAGGCCACTCTGTTCTCAAACACAGTTCAGCTTTCATCCCGCGCAAGGAGGGTAACCCAATCCCAGAGAAGTGGCTCACAGCCACCCTGACGTCAGCTGAGCCGACAGGCAAAACACTCCATGGTGCACCCCCAGGAGTGCAGGGTTAACCATCGAAGGAAGAGGAGTGTGCAAGGGACCTTAGATGGGCGGCAATTAATAGAATGGCAGGAGCATCCGAGTTCCCTACCGGTCCTGTCCTGCCTGCATAAGCCACACGCATTATGACCATAGGGGGTTGGCGCTGTGGCTCAGCGGGTAAAGCCACTGCCTGCAGCGCCGGCATCCCATATGAGTGCAGGTTCAAATCCTGGCTACTCCACTTCCGATCCAGCTCTCTGCTATGGCCTGGGAAAGCAGTAGAAGATGGCCCAAGTCCTTGGGCCCCTGCACCCGTGTGAGAGACTGGGAAGAAGCTCCTGGTTCCTGGCTTTGGATCAGCACAGCTGTGGCCAACTGGGGAGTGAACCAGCGGATGGAAGACCCCTCTCTCTCTGTCTCTCTCTCTCTCTCTATCTCTCTGCCTCTGCCTCTCTGTAACTCTGCCTTTCAAATAAAATAAATAAATCTTTAAAAATAATGACCACCAAGTGATTATAGAAGGATAACGCAAGTACTTGCGTTTGCACAGCTGTGTACAAGGACTTGCATCTGCTCTCTCCGCGAATCCCTTGTGGACTCCATCATTGCAGATCTGCCGAGAGGGAGGCCTGGCCCCGAGCGCTCAGGGGGCCTTCCCCTCACTCCCTTTGTGACAATTCTCCCTTTGAAAGGGGTCGTCTTTTGGTGACAGCCCTGGGGACTGGCTGGCGGCCTCCATGTCTCATCGTCCCTGAGTGTTCACAGGGTCTGCCCTTAACATTGGGTTCTCCCAGCAGCTATGAAGGTGAGACCAGCGGTTCTAGAAAACACTGTTTACCTGCTGATAAGATGCAGCTCAGTAAGCCAGATGGGTGGATTCTTTTTATTCAATTTAATTTATTTATGAGCGAGAGAGCAAGTACTTCCATCCCATGGTTCACTCTCCAAATGCCCAAAACAGCTGGGGTTGGGCTGAGGCCAAAGCTGTGAACCAGAAACCCAATCCAGGTCTCCCCGTGGGTGGCAGGAACCCAGTGACTTGAGCCATCCCGCCGTCTCCCAGGGTCTCTGCTGGCAGGAAGCTGGAGTCAGGATTCCAGGGCAGGAGTTGAAGTTCAGATCCTCCGGTGTGGGACACAGGCAGGTTAATCGCCAGGCCGCGGGCACACTGGGTGTGGGGCAGATGTCATTGACAGGGACACAGTACCACTGCAGAAGATGAGCCGCTGCCACGCAGCGGGGCCAGGCGAGGAGGCGTGGCTGGAGTGGCTTCCACAGATGAGTGGATTGCTCACGCTCCCTCCACGCAGACGGCTTCTTGCAGCAAAGGAGCGGTATTTCCCCTCAGGAAAGAGGCGCCGTAGAGTCTATTCCTCAGGTTCTATTATGTGCCCCCCCCAGCCCCCGTATCGAGTCCACACAACTGTCCATCACCAGCCTTGGGTGTTCCAGTTTAAAACGTCCACCAGCGCGGGCAGGAGTGGAGACGGCCGCCTGTTCACAGCTCAATCACCTGTGCATCTCTGCAAAGGAAGAGAATCCCCTTGAAGGCTTGTAGGCAGAGCGCTGTGCCCTGCCGCATCCCCCTGCAGGTGCCCAGACTTGCGTCACGCAGCTCAGCAGACACCAAGTTCACCAGCCGGTCCCAGCGCGGCGGGACACTGCTGGTGCAACACAGCAAGAGACCCTTCAGGTGGCTTCTAGAAAAAGGGGAACATTTGTCAGACAGAGCTCAGCTAGGGGGCTGTGTTCTTGCCTGCCAGACGGGGGCCCACAAAGCCTCATCCACTTTGACGAGGAGAAGGGAAGTGCTTGATCTTTGAGGCTGATGGACACTCTGTGAGGGGGAAGTGTCACTTCCTGTAGCTCGGGGTTTGTGCAGATCGGAGCAGGTGCCACAAGGGACAAGGTGGATGACCTACAGGAAGTCAACGACAAGCCCCATGCATACAGCAGAGGGAAAGACATCGCTGTGCTTCGTGCATCAGCTTTGAAGGGTGGGAAGAGCAGCATAGACGCGTTTGCAAACGGTGGGGGGTGGGGCGGGGCGGGGGGGCCCAGAAGAGAAGTTGAAGCCACCAAACCAGACCCCGATATGCTAGAGCTCGGACTGGAAGCTGGGGAGAGCCTGCTGTGGTCACTTTCAGCTAAGGGCGACATGCACAAGACCACATTTGCATGAACTTCACATCAACATTATCTATAGGGGCCGGTGCGGTGGTGTAGCAGGTAAAGCTGCCGCCTGCTGTGCCAGCATCCCATATGGGCACAGGTTCAAGTCCAGGCTGCTTCACTTCCAATCCAGCTCTCTGCTATGGCCTGGGAAAGCAGTAGAAGATGGCCCAAGTCCTTGGGCCCCTGCACCCGCGTGGGAGACCCAGAAGAAGCACCTGGCTCCTAGCTTTGGATCAGCATAGCTCTGGCCATTTCTACCATTTGGGGAGTGAATCAGCAGATGGAAGACCTCTCTCTGTCTCTCCTTCTTTCTGTCTGTAACTCTGCCTCTCAAATAAATAAATAATAAAACCTTTAAAAGAAAATAAGGCCATACCTAAAGTATGAACACATGAGAAAGTCAGCATCCAAGCCCCGCCCAGGTGTGAGACACAACAGGAAACTCCATGAAAAAAGCAGCCAAGATATAAAACGCTCAGGAATAAACTTCATAAGGAATGAGATCCCTGTAAGAGGAAAATCTGGAAATTTCCCCAAAATACACAAAAATAGACTTGCAAAAAAAGAAAGAGTCTGTCTTTTCTTGGAAGACAACTTCGCATCATTGAGACATCAATCATCTTCAATGTAACAGGTGACGGCCACGCAGCCTCATAAAAGTACCCAGGTTGTTTCCACGGAAGGATTCTGAAGTGGATTCTAAAATAGATACGGGGGAGGAGCTGGGCGGGAACAGCAAGCGTGCAGCTGCAGAAAGGGAGCCCAGTGTGGCGTGTTGGCGTGGGGGCATCCGTCCTCCAGGCGCCGGGGCACACGGGCACCAGTGCAGGACGTGGAGCCAGCAGCGCGCGGACACTAGAAATACCCCAGGTTCACGTGGCAGTTCAGAACACTGTGAAAGCGGCAAGAGAAACACTGGGAAATTCGATACCTTTTCAAAATGGGAGTGCCGTGGTCAGACTGCCACTTGACACAAAGGGAAAACTGGACCTGCAGCTCAACCCACGCACCAGAATAACTGTCAAAAAAGGACTAGGATCGAAATAGAAATTGAAATTATACAAGTACTAGAAACATATGTGTGTGTGCACACTTGTTCATGTACAGACATGTAAAGTTTTTAAAATGTTATGAAAATTTGTTTATATGTAAAAGGAGTTTTAATTGAGCACATAGTTGTAAAAGAAACACAAGAAAGATACACTAGGGGGGCTGGTGCTGTGGCATAGCGGGTAAAGCTGCTCCCTACAGTGCCGGCATCCCATATGGGCTCTGGTTCTAGTCCCGGCAGCTCCACTTCTGATCCAGCTCTCTGCTGTGGCCTGGGAAAGCAGTAGAAGATGGCCCAAGACCTTGGGCCACTGCACCTGCATGAGAGACCTGGCCGCTGGCTTCAGATTGGCCCAGCTCTGGCTGTTGTGGCCAACAGAGGAGTAAACCAGCAGATGGAAGATCTCTCTCTCTCTGTCTCCCTCTCTCTCTCTCTCTCTTTATCTCTCTCTCTCTGCTTCTCCTTCTCTCTCTGTATAACTCTGACTTTCAAATAAATAAGTAAATCTTTAAAAAAAAAAAAAAAGATACACTGGGAACCGTTGGAAATGGAATTGTGAAACCAGCAGACAGCGAGAGGGTGGGGTGGACAGTTATGGGAAGCAGGCTCTTCTGGATTTATCTGCCTGCATAAGCTGATCTTTGAGCCCTGTGCATGTCTTACATACTCAAAAGGAAAAGGCTTTTTAAAAAAGAAGCATTAAAAATAGCATACAGAGTGAAACAAGTGTGTTTCCCCCACCGCAAAGAGGACATAATGAGGTTCATTTGGGCACAACATTCTGTGCACACACAGAGGGCTCAATTTTAAGGGCAAAAAGTGCCCCAGAGCCGTTCTCGAGTTCACCAAGCAGGTTTGTCGTCGGAGAATGTTATGGTTCTGGAAGGACTATCTCGGCGTTATTCGGGTTGAGCCAGTGCGTAGAAGCATTTCCATGGTGGAAACCAAGGCTTTCATTCTGAAGCAGGCAAGACTCAAGCGGGAAGTGGAGAAAGCTTAGGGCACTGAGCTTGCGACTTAAATGCAGACACCTTGGCCCTGACCGTGGGAAGGACCAAGAAACAAGGAAACCTCAGTAGCCGAGAGCAGTGAGCACACACACTTCCCAGATCTTGGTCTCTAAAACTCACTCTGCAGGGGAGGGGGGAGGAAAAAATAAAAGCAATATCGGGCTCCCCGGGGAAATGGGTGACTCAGGGTGAGCAGAGATCAAGGCTACAGCTTCTGAAGTCTCGAGGAGCCTCTGGAAGTGACTGCACCGGCCAAGTGCAAGACAATTTGAGCAGCAGAAAGAATCACGGTGGCAATGAAATAAAATGCATTCAAATCTTTGGGGAAAAAATAGCCTCTTTCCTCCCTTCCTTCTTCCCATCCCCTACCTGTCTTCCACGGAAGAGTGTCAGCTCTGAGATGCTAAGATAGGAGCGCACTCAGGTGGAACTGCCGACGTCAATACCTGGTCGAGCAGAGTTGGGGGAGGAATCGCTGAGGGTCAGGATATTGCCATGGTCCCTGGGTGCAAGCCCTTGGGTCATTCACTAATTTAAAAGGGGACCCTTTAAGCTCTACAAAGTGGAGGGCTAGCAGCGGCTTCCTTAATCAAGCCACCAAAGTGTCACCCACGGGGAGCTGGCCTGGCCACCTGAGCGATGAGATAAAAGACGTGCAGCGATGCACATCACCTCCATGGTGTTCTTGGTGTCCCCCACCCCCCAAAATCAATCTGGATCTACTCAAGGGAAAACAACCAGACAAACACAGAAAGTGGGCATTATATGAAATGCTGGCTCAGGTACTTCAGAACTGACCACGCTGTGGGCGCAGTGACAGAGGGGCTGTGACTGGGCAGGAGAGACAGTGGTGACCCACGGAGGGCTAAGAAATAGCCTGAGACCTACTCCAATTTTCAAGGTGGTCAGTTTCCCAAAAAGCATGAGGGGGGGGTGGTAAAGCGGAGAAGATCCAAGCTCAGTGTATCTGGGGGATGGGCACAGAGACTGCTATGTTTTGCTAACTTCTCTCTGGCTTTGAAGATTTTCCCCCTAGGACAGAGGGCAAGAGAGGAGACGGGAGACTGCCCCAGCCTGGAGTCACCTTCCTGGGTTGGCGTGACTGGGGCTGCCACCCTGGGTAGGGAGTGTGGATGGTGACGCTGAAATTCACACCAACCCGGTGGAGAGAATAGGACCTTCCCTAGCAGCAGGGGTCGTCCAGCTGCGGTGCTCAAAAGCCCAGCCCCTCTGCGGCCCCTTGCAGTGCAAGCTTTGCTCACTCTGAGCCCCAAAGCAGGTGACAAGCAGCTGCAGAGAGATGGTGGTTTTGTTTTTGTTTTTGTTTTCATCAAACAGAGTAAACTGGCTAATGGTTAGATTGGCAACTGAAACAGCAGGACTTAGCAAAAAAAAAAAAAAAAAAAGGAAGGAAGAAAAGACTACGCTCTGTGCTCTGTTAAAACCCAGCTGTGGCTCACTAGGCTAATCCTCTGCCTGCGGCACCAGCACACCGGGTTCTAGTCCCAGTTGGGGCGCCAGTTCTGTCCAGGTTGCTCCTCTTCCAGTCCAGCTCTCTGCTGTGGCCCAGGAGTGCAGTGGAGGATGGCCCAGGTCCTTGGGCCCTGCACCCATATGGGAGACCAGGAGAAGCACCTGGCTCCTGGCTTCAGATCGGCACAGCGCACTGGCCATGGTGGCCATTTTGGGGGGTGAACCAATGGAAGGAAGAGCTTTCTCTCTGTCTGTCTCTCACTGTCTAACTGCCTGTCAAAATCAAACAAACAAACAAACAAAACAGCTTTCTCAGCTCTGGTTGGGCAAGTGCTCCGCTCCGTAGCTTCCCTTGAAGTCTTGCCAATATTCTCTTAATGACCCCAGCACAGACTTGCAGGCCACTGGTTAGCTGCCCTACATAACCGGGGTGAGGGAGGAGTGTGCAGAGGAGCCCCAGGCCACCCTGGGGCAGCCACTGCCTGCCTTCCTTTCGCTATAAGTGAGCACTCGCACAACCGGCTTTTTGGAGAAACTGGGATTTAGCCTGCAAAACAGGAGAGCAGCAAGCTCACTGCCCAAGGCTTCCAAGGTGCCTTGGAGCGCAGGCGAAGCTCTCCTCGGGAGAGTGGCTAGCTCAGCCTGAGCCTTCTCCTTTGGCTGTGACCACTGCTGACTCAGCCTGACTCCGTGTGGTGTGAGTTTGGGAAACTGGATTGCCCTACCCCTCTGGGAGAGGTCCTCTCTGTGGGGAGGAAGGAGCTCTGCAGGACGCCAGCCAGCCCCTCCCTCCCATGGTGCATTTCTTCTCCCCTTCCTCTCCCCACCTGCCTCGCTTCACATTCCTGCACTGGGCTTTCCAAGCGTTTACTGCTGAAGAAGCGTTCCAGCCACTCCTGCCTCTTGCAGCCCTGATGGCTCCAAATAGTCCAGAAGCTTCCATCTTGTGTCTTCCCTGTAGCCCCCACCCGACCCTGCACCAACAGGGCATCGTGGCAGGTCTCAGTCTCTCCCTGTTTCCACCTGGGCTGTCTCCTGTCTGTCCCCATAATGTACAAAAGAATAGTCCACCTATCCCTGACCTGGAGCTTCTCAGTGGTTGACCAGATGTCTCAGGAAAGAATTCGCCTCTGCTTAAAACATAAGACCTAGGGAGCTTGGGTGAGTACCCCCAGACTCAAGGCAATGTGCACGTGGACACCCTCTCCACTGAGCCACCGGCACCCATGGCTGGTCTGCTTGTGCCCCTGTAGACGGAGGGAGCTTGTCTTGTCTTTGCTTTCTCTTCTCTCTGCAGCACCTAGCCCAGAACCTCCTGCCCACTCCCTCTTCTCTTTCGTGAGGACCCGCCCCATTGGAGACACCTGCTGAGAGCTTGTGCCAGGGGCGTGGACTGAAGGGCTCTGCATAAGGGCAAGATCTCACCCAGGGACTGCTGGAGCCCTTGAGTGCAGCAGCCTGCCACGCCCACCCCCAACACCTGCCGCTACAGAGGACCGGCCAAGTGTGCATCTGAGTCCCCTGCAGAGGGTGCCCAGGGCAGAGGAGGGAGGGAAAGACAGGCAGTGGAGCAAATGGCAGAGACAGAGGGAAAAGGAACGCCTTCCCCTGGCCCGCTGGCCGCCACCTTACCTTGGCGCCCTCTTCTTCCGCACTGTGCTGTCTGGAAACAGGGAGATGAGCGTTAGGTAGGAGAGCCTGCGACCACGCTCTGGCCCGCCCCATGTCCCGGCTGGGCAGGTGGCGGCGGGGCCAGAGCCAGCCCTCCTCGGGCAGAGCTGAAGGGTTCCCTGGGCTGGAGCCGCTACTCAGGCACTGCTCTTGGTACAGTGCTCTGCCCCCTGCCCCGCCCCCTTCCTTTGGCACCACTGGAGCTTCCAGCTCTGATTGTGTGGGGGGCCGGGTATTCTCTAGGGTCCCCCCAGGGAGCTGCAACCCTGCTCCGGTCAAGTGCAGCAACCAGGAGCCCAGTGGGGCTCCGCCATCCTGCCCCCAGGGCCACCGCGTGGAAAACTGCTGGCTTTGCTGGCGACACCCTGCGGTGAAGGGCATTCAGCCCCATGTTGTGTTTTGCTGGTGAAACTTGCAAAACTGACGGTCCCAGGGTCCACCTGGGAGGCCTTCCCTGCAGGTGTCACGGGGTACGGACACTCCCGATGCGGCTCGCATGCACCCAGCTCAGTTTGCGTTAGCAGGGGCAGCGTGGCAGTGAGTAGGACTTGCCTAACTTGGGAAAACAGGTGCAGCTGGGCCCACAGAGGTGGTGTGGGCAGCAGCTCCCAGCACCCACTCACTCCTGGGCCCAGCCTCAAGGCCCCAGGGGCTGGATTTCTCTGATTACATCAGCTGAATGGAAATTATGGGGGCTGGCGCTCTGGCGTACTAAGCTAAGCCTCCACCTGTGGCACCGGCATCCCATATGGGCGTCGGTTCGAGTCCCAGTTGCTCTTCCGATCCAGCTCTCTGCTGTGGCCTAGAAAAGCAGTGGAAGATGGCCCAGGTGCTTGGGCCCCTGCACCCACATGGGAGACCTGGAAGAACCTCCCGGCTCCTGGCTTCGGGTTGGTCCAGCTCCAGCCATTGCGGCCAATTGGGGAGTGAACCAGCAGATGGAAGACCTCTCTCTCCCTCCATCTGTTTGTAACTCTGCCCCTCACATAAATTAAAAAAAAAAAAAAAAAAAAAAAAAAAAAAAAAAAAAACGGAAATAGGAAATGGCGGTTAAAAGCCAACATCATCTCCTCTTGCTACCTGATTCTCAGGTACCAAGAGTAGCAAAGTAGAAAAGCAGAGAGACGGGAAGGCAGAGAAAGAGACAAAGAGACACACAGTTATAGGGACAAAGAGACACACAGTTATAGGGACAGAGACGGGACGAGTGTACGAGAGCCAGAGCTGGAGAGAGGGGAGACAGACAGACACAGACAGGCCCCTGGCTCAGTCCCTGGGCCTTTATGCTCTCTGCAGCCAATGCTGCGGAGCTGCCCCAGTGGGGAGGCCACGGCGGCAGGGCCAGCCCAGGCGTCCCCAGTCTGCCTCCTGGCCCGGCCCGGCCCCGGCCCGGCCCCGCCCCAGCCCCGCCCCGGCCCCGCCCTGGCCCGTACCGCTGAGGCCCACAACGGTGCTTCTCAGGTCTGAAGACTCGTTGTCCCACAAGTGTTTCCTGATCACGCAGATCTTCAGGGCCAGGAAGCCGGCGGAGATGGCCACGCCCACGGCCGCTCCGATGATGGCGTACTTGAAGTCTGCAGTGCAGGGGCAGTTGGACACCAGGGCTTCAGACACCGCTCGCCTCGCCGTGGGTTTCCTCCTTTCACATTCCCCCGGGGAGCTGCAAAGGCCCCCACGTGGACCGTGGGTTCTACACTCCCTGCCTGAGCCAGTGTGCTCCCCGCCGTGTCCTTGTCTTTCTAGAACATCCTTCAGGAGTGGAAACCCTTCCCACCTTTGAAGACTCATTTACATCCAACCCAAGACAGCGTAGCAGAGCTGGATAAAGTGGTTAGCCATCCCGGCAGCCCTGGAGGCGAGCATGGCCCTTGGTCTGCACTGGCCAGCGGGCACTAGTACCAACAGCGCGCGCGCACACACACACACACACACACACACGCCTGCCTGGGATTTTTTGCAGGGCCACCTACCGATGTCAGTTCCAGCAGCCTTGCCTGTCTCCAGCACTTGTGCGCTTCCCACATCTGCAAAGACAGAAAGCCCCGGGCCTGCTGAGACACCGCCTGGCCCCACTTGGCCAGACAGAGCAGCTGAGGTCAGGGCGGGAGGTCACAGGCCAGACCCAGGTCCCCAGTCACCCATGCCCACCCACCTGGGCTCCAGGCCCTTCCGCTTGGCCACCACCATGGGAAGCCCTGGTCTCCCCCAAAGACTTGGAGCACTGAAAAGCCTGCCTGGGAATGCAGTAGTTCAACGAAGCCAGCTCCCAACACATGTGTGCGTGCTATCTGCTAACAAGGGGCCCTCCCTCTGGCCTGGGCTTGGCTCCACCCCTCTCCACCACTACCTGGTGGTGGCTCCAGGTCACTGCCTCCCAGACCCTCCCCCTGTGTGGGCTAGCTCTCCTCCCCATGTCGCTGTGGTTGACAATCGCCTTAACTGACACGGATGTTGATTTAACACGGCCCAGCACTGGCGTGGGTCAGGCACCTTCCTAGGACCTTGTAAGGACCTTCCTAGGACCTTGTAAGCTTTCAAACCACGGGTTGAGCCTTTTTCTTTTTCTGAAAGATTTGTTGATTTATTTTGACCACTGGTTCACTTCCCGGATGGCCACAGCAGCTAGTGTTGGGCCAGGTCAAAGCCAGGAGCCAGGAGCTTCAGACAGGTCTCCCATGCAAGTGCAGGGGCCCAAGCACCTGGGCCATCCTCTGCTGCTGTCCCAGGTGCATGAGCAGGGAGCTGGATGGGGAGTGGAGCAGCCGGGACTGGAAGCAGCAGCCACGTGGGATGCCGGCGTCGCAGGCAGCGGCTTTACCTGCTCCACCTACGCTGGCCCCTGAGAGTACAACCTGACAAGGCTGACACAGGCAAGGCAGCGGTGTGTTAGTATCTGCAGGGGGTGGCTCCCAAGGCCCCTAGCGGATGCCACCAATGTTTGTGTCCTACACACACACAAAGCTTAATTTAGGGCCTGGGGTTGGGGAACAGCAGTTTAATCTGCTGCTTGTGACGCTAGCTCCCAAGGTGACTGAGAAGGCAGTGGAAGATGGCCCAAGTACTCGGGTCCCTGCCGCCCACCCATGTGGGAGACCAGGGTGATGGAGTTCCTGGATCCTGGCTTTATCCTGGCCCAGATCTGGCTGTAGTGGTCATTTAAGGACAGAACCAGCAGATGGAAGATCATTATCACTTTCTCTCTCTTTCTCTCTCTCTCTCTCAAATAAATAAATTATTATTTTTTTTTTTTGACAGGCAGAGTGGACAGTGAGAGAGACAGAGAGAAAGGTCTTCCTTTGCCGTTGGTTCACCCTCCAATGGCCGCCGCGGCCGGCGCGCTGCGGCCGGCGCACCGCGCTGATCCGATGGCAGGAGCCAGGAGCCAGGTGCTTTTCCTGGTCTCCCATGGGGTGCAGGGCCCAAGCACCTGGGCCATCCTCCACTGCACTCCCTAGCCACAGCAGAGGGCTGGCCTGGAAGAGGGGCAACCGGGACAGAATCCGGTGCCCCGACCGGGACTAGAACCCGGTGTGCCGGCGCCGCTAGGCGGAGGATTAGCCTAGTGAGCCGCGGCGCCAGCCCAAATAAATTAATTAATAAATTAATAAATAACTGTTCAAAAAGTTTAGGGCCCAGCATTGCAGCACAGCGGGTTAAGTTGCCACCTGAGATGCTGGTATCCTGTATGTATGACCACCAGTTCAAGTCCTGGCTGCTCCACTTCTGATTCTGCTCCCTGCTAATGTTCCTGGGAAAGCAATGGAAGATGGCCCAAGTACGAGGATTCCTGCACCCACGTGGAAGACCCAGATGGAGTTCCTGGCTCCTGGCTCTGGGGAGTGAACCAGAAGATAGAAGATCTCTCTCTCTCTCTCTCTCTCTCTCTCTCTCTCTCTCTTTCTCTCTCCCCTGCTCTGCCTTTCACACAAATAAAATAAACCTTGAAAAAATAAAAATGAGGTTTAATTTATACAATAGCCACAATTAGAAAATTAACCACAGCTAATAATAAATAGAGCAATTATAACAACACACTGTTAAAAAGTTATTTACAACTCAGGAATCGTTTATTTCTGGAATTTTTCCATGGGGTATTTTCAGATGGCCACTGACCACAGGGATCTGACACCACAGAGCGGGAAGCCACAGATCACAGAGTGACTCTGGTGCGATTCCCAGCCCTTCAAGGCCAAGGGCTGGGTGGGAGAAGGGTGAGGCCGCATCTGAGTTTCGCGCCCACGCTTCCCATGCAGGCCCTGTTTCTCATCAAAGGCAGAGGCCACTTGCCCGGGACAGGCCAGCTGTCCCCGGCTGAGCAGGAGTCTGTCCGTGTCCGGAGCCCTGAATGCCACCCCGCCCAGGGTGAGTGATGGCCTGGACAATTGGACCCCTCCAGAGGCCAAGCCGTCTCCTCCAAGGCCTTGGAAGCCAAGGGGGAGACGAACAGATGGCAGAGGACAGCTTTCTCCCGTGTGTGTCTGATGGCGGAGGAGGTTCATTGTAACAGAGTTCTGGGATTTTCTGGTGGCCTAAGTGGAGATAAAGCCTGACAGTTCAATGCACAGGCCTTTTGGAAATGCAAACTCTTCCTGCCTCCTGCAGAGGGGAGCCCTCACGCCGGGCACCTCCAACACACACACTGATGAGGACAACCCCATTCTGTCCTTCTCTGTAGCCCAGGCGGGGAGCTTCCTTCTATGGGCCTCTTATTGTTTCTTTACATCAACCCTGCTGCTGTGCGCAGGGGAGTGGGATCCAGAGGTGGGAACAGCCACGGACAAGAGTAGAAATCCAGCCGGGACTGACCCCCTGCGTTCTGAGCCACGTAGGCTGCATCCTCGCCCTGTCCTGGGCCTTTTGCTGAAGCTCCTACCTCTTTCTCTGCACTATTGAGGCAGGGGCAGGAGGGCGGCCAGAGGAGAGCAGGGCGTCTATCAGGGGGGCCGGGCCCCTCAAGGACAGCCTCTCCCTGCCCCACACACACACAGGGACAGATGCACAGAGGGACATCTTGCCTGATCTCCCACGCAGGGGACCGCCCCTTGCTGAGCAGGCACACCCCGCCCCCTGCTGGCCTCAGCTTTCTCCATCAATTGGCCCAGCAGGTGCCCTGCCCCCCCCCCGGGGGGGGCACTCAGCTGCTCCTGCCCCACCCTGTCACAGAGGTCCATGGCTGGGCTCAGCTCTGCCCTCCACGCCCTGTCCCCTAATCCCTGCCCCCTGACAGGCTTCCAGCTCCCCTCTCTCCACGGGGTCCCTTGCTGGGAGACAGACCTGGGCCTGGGGCCGAGCTCCGCACGGCAGTGGGCAACATCCCAGTCATTCCTGCGAGCCAGGCTGACGGCCACTCGGGGGCAGCCTTTCCCCTCCTTGGGGAGGGAAGCCGCAGTGCCGCCCGCCCTCCATGCCCCAAGCTCGGAGCCCAGGCCACAGCCAAAAGGAAGGAGCTCTCGGTGACAGTTCGTTCCCAGCGTAGCAGCTCGGCCCACCCTCCCCCACCTCCTGCCAGCATCACAAGTCCCATGCGGGCTGTAGACCCCAGTGTGAGTTCCTCCCCACCCTCCCCCACCCCAGCTTTGCAAAGCAGCTGCAGGAAGAAGGACCCTAGAGGGCCCAGCGCAGCCGGAGGAGTCCAGAGGGCTCCACGCCGCAGTGCTCAGAGGTATGCGAAACCCTGGCATCAGAGGAGGCAGCAGCAGCCTCCTGGGGCTCGCTCATCTGGGATTCTCTCCTGCAACAAGAAGGCCGGACCTGGGGAGAGCGGGCAGGGCTGCACCGGGACCACAGACTCACCGAAGCAGGGGTAGACCCAGAGCTAGGCTCATCCGGGAGCTGTCCACATCGAGCCAGGAGCTGGGAGCTAGCACATGGCCCTTGCTGCTGGCCATGGCACAGAGCATCAGGCTGCCTCTAGCTGGGCCTGTTGATGTTCTGGAAGTTTCCACAGCCTCCACCAGGTCAAAGGGCCCTGAACACACAAGCGGGTCCCCTTTAACGCTGCCTTGCTCCGGCCTGCTGAGAGCCTATCTCCGGCATCCAGACTTCTCTATGTTGGCCACCTGTCGGACCCAACCTCGATGAGGGGGCTGACACTCTCTGCCACCCATCTGGGCAGCATCGGGCTGCATGGCTCCCACTTGTGGGCCGGTGGGCGTGCCCACACTCAGATGTCGCTCCCTAAGTATCTGAACTAAAAATAGGGGCGAGGCTGCCCTCTGTGTGTGTCAGCGGATGCCTGGCCACATTCAAACGTCGCAGAGCAACGCCCAGACGCAGAGCTGGTGAATTCCAACATTCTCGGCTGCAGGAGGGAGCTTCGGGTGTCCAAAGCCAGCATCCGTCCTCTCCTCGAACATCCCACGTAAAGAAATAAACTCCCCACACAAGAGCAACCCGAGATCCACGCCCCCACCACCACCATGATGGAGCTCACGGGGTGATGGGAGACAAGATTTAAACCAGAGACTGCACGCTGGTCTCCACGAGCAGGAGGACCTCCGAACCGCTGTGCCTGGGGTGGACATGTGTTGGGTGAGCAGCTGTGGCCATCAACGGCTGCAGGGCCTTGGTTTTCCCCCTGGGGAGCCACCTCCATGTGCCTCCTGCAGGACCGGATGGCCGTGGGAACCATACTGATCAATTAGCATATTCCTGCTTCCCATCAACCGTGGTTGGTGGAGAAGCAGGGCGGGTGCTGCAATCCTGGCCAGTAAGACTCTACCCTGGGACTTTGGGGGCCATATCATGCAACGGAAGTGTGTTCTGGAATGGAGAACTGAGGGGCTGTGACCAAGTCCTAAAGGCTGGTTTCAGGCTCCTGAATCTAGCTTTGCCTAAAGTACCACCCCTTGGACTTTTCCAGTGTCTCAGCAAAGAAACATCTTCTCTTTCTCACTCTTACCTGAGCTAGGCAGCTGGCAGCAACAACCCAAGGAATCCTGGGGACTCAGGTGGCGGGTGCTGCTACAAGTGAGTTGCCACACAACGCAGCCTCATATGCACCTGACTAAGGGGCTGCAAGCAA